GAAATCTTCACAAGGCAAGAAAGCAGAAGTCAGTAAAAGAAAAAGATATTAGTATTAATATATAAAGATTGTTTACATGAATAAATGCAACATAGAAGCTAAGGGCTAAGCTTCTGGGTTATCATCGAGAGCGGTCTCTTCTCCACCGGTCTCCCCCCGTTATCGGACCCGCTCTTGCTACCATCATCATCATCATCATCATCGCCATCAGAAGCCAAGGCTTCAGCAGCAGCTTCGAGTTCTTTGGCCCTTTTTATCTCTTCAGCAAGATCGAAACCTCGAGCGTGTATCTCCTAGAGGGTCTCCCTCCGAGATCGACACTTAGCAAGTTCGGCAACCCAATGTGCTTGAGTGTCGGCAGTATCCGCTGCCTCTCTTGCCTCCATTTGAGGAGCCCCGGCATCGGCTCGATACACAGCAATAGACTTGTCCACCATGACTTTCGATGACTCAATCTCCGCCTTGGCCTCAGCAAGCCTTGTTTCAAGCTCCTCGATCCTCTTGGCCTGAGCCGAACCTTTTTGCTTGACACTTCGAAGCTGAACATCGACCGATGATAATTTGGCCAAGATGGTTTCTTTTTCTGCAGCCAGGCGGTCGATAGTCTCCTTCCACCGATCACATGGCTTTGATTTGATCAACTTCTTCCCGAAGCAACCCGATCTTTTCAACATTTTGCTGCAGCTGAGATAACGAAGGGTTAACTTCCATAGTTGGATCAAACCCATACTCTAACAGAACGAGGCTCACATGCTTATCTAGTTCGGCCTCTTCTTCATGAGCCTTAGCCAAATCTGCTTGGAGGTCCCTTATAACCTTGTCCTTTTGGCCGCAAAGAAGTCGCAGAGCATCTCTTTCCCCCGAGACCTTCTGAAGCTCGACCTCACACTGGTTGAGGTCGGCTCGAAACTTGCTAATGGCCTACACAGAAGGGAAAAAACACAAGTCAGGTTTAGAAAAGAACGAAGAAACCAAGCACAGTAAAATCATTACCTGAGAAATGAAATATTGGGCCTCTTCTAGGAGAAGAGAAGCGCCACTAATATCGGAGATATCACCGACTCCAGTAAAGCAATCCCGAAAAGGATCCCATACACTAGAGCCTCCGCCCATATCGGGAGTCTTTAATTCTCGAGCTTCCTTTAACGCCTCCTCAGAAAAGGTCGGAAGAGAAGGCAAATGACCCACTATCATGGTCCCGAGCGAATCGCTCGGGACGCTCTGATCGAGACTCGGGGTATCGGAATCGGCCCCGACCGGTGTAGCCGTCATCGTCTCAGAAGGTCTGGCGACCGCGATAGCTTTCGCGGATCGGACCACCAAAGCCAAAGCATCTTCTTCTTCTTCTTCTTTTTCTTCTCTCAGTCATTGGACCGAGTCCATCGAAAGAGCGATTGCCTTCCTCCTCACCCTTCAAGTTTTGGGCTTGAGGTCCTCTGACCGAGAGACAACTTTTTGCTTTTTATCTTTCCCTGGTTACGGGACTGGGGACTTAGTTCCTTCCTCACCACTCGAAGGCCTCAAAACGGCATCCTTGGTTACGCCTGCATGAAAGGAAGTCAGTAATGAATGGAGCATAAAAAATGTTTCGAAAAACATGAGAAGTGACCCTTACCGTGATTCTTGGCCTCCCACCTACCTTTCGCCAAATCACGCCAAGCGCGCTCGGCATAAGAGGAAGTCGAGGCTAACTTCTGAACCCAATCCTCGAGGTCGGGTACCGCTTGTGGCATCCAAGGGGTAGCTGTATATCGAAGGGAGATATCAGATAGAATCAGAGAAAGATACGAAAAGCAACGCCTTATGTAAATCACTTACGGTCGAAATTCCATTCCTCGGGAAACGGCATCTTCTCTTCCGAGATAAGGTCACGGGTCCTCACCCGAATATAACGGCCCATCCAACCCTGATCCTTGTCTTCGTCGATGCTCGACATTAAAGCTTCCGTTATCCGACGATGGAGCATGATTAGTCCTCGAAAGATTTGAGGCCGATACAATCGTATGAGGTGATTTAGGGTAAAATCCAGACCACGGCCTTGTTGGAGAAGAAGCGACGTAAGATTACTATGCGCCATAGAGAAGGATGAATTTGACCGAGGGTGACCTGATATCTTTTGCAAAAATCAATGATCACTGGGTCGACGGGACCCAACGTGAAGGGGTAAGTATAATCACTTTAAAACCCCTCCACATGAGTGATGATGCTCTCTTCAGGAGAGGGAATTTACAACACAACCTCGGGACCCCAGCTGTAGTCTTTCCTCACAGCCTCGAGATGGCCCTCTGTTATCGAGCACATGTACATCGACACATGCTCACATCGACCAGGAACCAACGAAGGATTTTCAACCTTAAAATCGATCTTCAGAGTACACGGGCCAGGAACATACTCGTGGGGAGGCGGCTCTACCGGCGCCTTGTCGCCGGAAGGCCGTGAAGAGGAAGCTTTCTCCTTCTGAGGTACGATTTTTGAAGTTTTTGCCATTGATATAAGAAAAAGAAAAGCAAAGGAAGATGAAAGGTTGAAAGTGCCAAACGCTGGTGAAGGTGGCTCTACGAGCGGCGAAATATAGACAGAAAGAGTAAGAAAATTTGGGAGAGTGAAGATGTAAAAGTGGTGAATGATAAATGGAAGGGTTATTTATAGGTTTATACCGTGGCGGTTCAGTATCAGCGGTGGCCGACCACCGTCTGACATGCATTAAATACCTTGAAAGACTAAATCGACGGGTCAGCTATCACGTACGTCATGACCAAGCCCAGTGAAAACTCCATCTTATAATCCGATCGAGCCGTTGAAAATCATATCGCTTCTCACCACATTCTTCCTGAGAAATGAGGGGACTATCTGGATACGGTCGAAATAGATTTAGGCCTTCGTACGTTTGATCGAGTTCGAATGGTAAGTGACTGAAGTGAGACTTCGAGACGAGTTCCGAAGATAGTACAAACAAGCTTCGAGCTCCAAGACCAATCGAGGAATTGGCTCGGTATCATTATCGAGCCCATGACCAAATCGAACCGCAAGGCAACGTGAAGGTCGTCGGAGACGCACAGACCGATCGACACTCACCCCGAATGTCGAACTCGAACCAAGGCCGAGGGCTCGACCCAATACCGAGCTCGAGCCAGTATCGAGCTTGTAGACAATAGTCGTTGCAACCGCACTAGGGGTGAGAATCTTGGCGGGAATCGAGGAGAAGACAATTCATCATGAGTTCTCCACTATATATTTTTTATTATAAATAAAGTAAGATCCCTCTACTATAAGAAGGGAAATCCTTGTAAACACAGAGCAGGTCCACACATTGTAAAAAAAAAAAGACTACTTCTCTTATTGAAGAATAAATCTCTTGAGTTTGTTTTACTCAGTATACTCACTCTTCTTGTTCAATAATTTATATCCCGTTTTTATAGCCAAGAATCTAAACATTTCCACTTCAACGTGCGATTTATGTCAAGCTATATCACATACCCTTAGAACTACTTATAAATTTAACTATATCCGACTTTTCGGGTAAACACTACCCAACCTGAATTCTAAGGGTAATCGATGTGAACAGTAGGGTTTAGAAGCAGCCGCTTTCAGTCGTTCCCCTTGGACCTTAGCCTCTTAAGGATTGGGTTCTAGTGGCAAGCTCTTTGGGTCGTACGGACCCATATCTGGTAAAAGTGGTGTCTTGGTTGTCCCCACACCCCCTTACCATGCGTGACTGTGGAACCAATTTGTGCTAGCGTTTTGACGCTACAGAAGGCTGGCATTCCAAGAACGAGGTTGATGGAAGAAGTGGGGTCTACATTAAAAAGAAAAAGCAAAACAAAGATAATTTTAAGAACCTCAAGCACCCCAAAATGTGTGAAAATCAAACATTTTGTCATGTAAGAATAAGTTTACGAAACACATTTGTGTCAAGTTGAGGTTGATAAGTTAGAGTGTTTAACTCACAGCTAAAGCCTACTTTAAGTGTTTGTTTATGTATTTTGCCTTAAAAGTACAAAACAAACAAGAAAATAGTTTTTGAAAATTGTAATATAACTATCTAAGTATTTAAGCGAACTAGCATAAGCATAAAAAAATACAAAAGAATAAAAATATCATGAGATACAAGTCAACTATAATGTCCTGGTCACCCAAACACTACAAAAAATGGATATATCTACACATTGTCATCACACCAAGTAATTTGAGGGGAAAAACATACTAATATCTACTACAGAGTACTGTATAAAAATTTTACTTCAAATGTGCTTCTTCACTATCGTAATTCTATTTTGAGATGTAACCAAAATTCACATAAGACTTGTACTCTTAAAGAAATAACATATACACTGCTGAACCCAACTCTTTGGCACTCCTTAATAAGTCAAGATATAACTGAAAGGTGCAGCCTGAAGGTATTTACCTGAGGTAGCAGTTACTCATCAATTCTTAACGGCTAAACAGACAGGTTACATCACTTATAAACACAAAAAAGGATAACACTGTTATAAATGGAAATGAAAAGATCAAGCTTATGGTGACGAATAAATAAAGAATAGTTTACTGACCAAACACATAAGACATAAATACCTACTATCTGTTTCCAAATGAAAGGTTCCGACTAACACCCTCATGGCGTTTTCCAGATGAACGGTTTCAAGATCACACTTAACAGAGAATATGTGATATCAGTACTCAAATTTTGAGTTGTTAATGTTCTGAAACTTCTAATTTGGAATCGGTAAAGAAGACAATTAAGAAGTCAAGGGTTAGCTAAAAGATTTTAAGAGGAAACACGGCTAATTAAGAGTTTTCCTACACAATTCGTACAAAAACTATTGCGCTAGCATCAGATGTTAAACGTTGGACATGTGCACAAAGCATGTCCAGATTTTTGGGACGTATGCTTCGCGATCCTGAGGTATGCCCATGGACGCCTTTTAAAACTGGCTTGCAATGTCTAACCTTCATGTCAACGTAAGTTCGGTGATCAACATTATTAAAAGCACACATTCCTGCATTACCAACGATTGAAATGCAGATCAACCATGAAACTTACAATTTCGAACTGTTCTCATCGCTCGTGATGATAACCCTAATATTTTCATACCTTCCAGTTCCAAGCTGTTCTACAGCTTCGTGCTTCTACTTAAGTGACTGAGAATTGCCTCCTTGTTCTACGCTGTGAAAGCTCAGAAAGTCTATTTTTATGATTGACAGGAACCACGGCAAGTGTCTTTCCATTTACAGGCGGAACTATGGCCAATGCTTTAGAATCTGGAACAGTATCATCAGCTGATTGATCAATCGGATTTGTAAGAGATGAAATCTCCAGTTTATGGTTCTTCTCATCATGCTTGTCCAACTTAGTTGCTGGAGGATCTGACAAAGGATTGGGAGGCCCCAATTCTAAGATAGGTCTCGGTGGACGCCTGAATATAAAAATGACTACTTAGACACCATCAGCGAACCATAGAATAGCCAAAACCTATTGTAACATTTCTTTCTCTATTCTTTTTGATAACTATGCAAAGCATCATTATTCAAAAGCATACAAGTACTCATCTTCCCAACAATACCTAGATAATTCTTGATCTGTAATGTATAATGCTTAAGCAGGAGTATCATCTTTAGGGATCACAATGATGGAGGACCTTTCGTGAAAACAAGGCTACAAAGTGAAGATTGCCATTCTGCGAAATACCAGCCTGCTGTAGAGTTCTATTGTCATCTCTGACCTGAGTGAACTTCTCAAAAACAAATCTAGTTGCTCCTGATTGAAAGAAAAAGAACATACCTATTTGCTCTTAACATTTGCACATACGATCATCTTATTAGTGGTCCAGTGTTAACATAAATTGTGTATACATCGAATCCCTACAGCTAATACTAGAATTCCTAGATGCATAAAGTCCAGCAATCTTGATTAAAGATCGAAGATTTTCTAGATTTCACAATGCATCTGAGATTGACGGGAAAAAAATAGAGTGCCTGTGAAATACCTTCAGCGAACCAATTGCTTCCATTTCAGGAAACCTTAATATAAAGCTGTGGCACCTTGAAAGACTTAATGCTAAATTTTACTAGAAAGGAAAATTCGACTCCGGTCAAAAGCTTTTTCGAGAAAAAAGTGTGTCTAATCCAGAAAGAAAGAAAACGATACAAAAGTGGCAAAATGCAGCCCAAACTCAAATCTTAAGTCTCTTACCAGTAAGATACTTCTGATGATTTCTATCTGATGCTGAAACCCAACTCCTGTAGAGAAAGACAGCATACTGCTCTCAGTATGACAGCATAAACCATGAAACTTTAACAGTAAGGACGCTAATAAGGTATTGAACTTCACCTGAGATTGTGGGAGAGGTCATAATATCTCTCTTGATTCCCTTTTCAGGCGATTTTGAAATGCTTTCACTACTAGGCTCCTTGTCATATGCCACAGCAAAGCTATAGTCATCACACAGTTTCCTTCTCTTGGAAAGTTTTTCAAGTCAACGTCTTTCATTCGCACGCATGCTTTTCCTATTGCGATAAAAGGACTTCATATGGTGATTTCAGTATTATTTATAAACCAAGAAGTTATTATAGCATCAGACATTCAAATTACCCACATACACAGTGGCGAAGCCAGAAATTTTTCCAAGGATGTTCAGACTTGAAAAAAGTAAAAACAAATCCCGACAAAGGGTGTTCAATATAAGTTTTATACATCTAAAATCAATATTTTACTTATATACATAGTGTAATTTTTCGTAATATTTCGACTAAGGGTGGTCAACCCTTAACAAAAGGTGGTTTCGCCCCTGCACAGACAAACACACACACATCAATAAAATCAAAACTGAGCAAAAACAATAATACGGGCATCACTTATATGGGGAACTCGTTACATACTCATTAACGCTGTGTCCTACAGAAACAAGTAGCTCGGGTAGTCAAAAAGATAACAAGATACATTATAGACCACATATCCTGCCCTTAGGTTGTTTGGATCAACGACACAAAACCAATAATGCTAACATTAAAAGTTATATCACTTAAGCTCATTAGAACTGTTCCTACATCCCGGTAACAACGAATTGACTAACATAACCATAATCATTAGGTGAGTTTTCTAGTAGCAGATTTTCTACCAAGAAGCTTGCTTTGCACTCAAAAGACTACTATAAGATTACATCCGTCTTCGCACACGCCTAGCATTTGGATTAACAGATTCTGCTGCAGCACCATCTGCTGCCAGATCCAACCCAAAGATGCTGCTGCTAGTCCTTTTCTTGCTAGACATCACAGTCGCCTTCTCATCAACTGATGCAACTGTTTCCAGTAGCTCTGACAACAGTGACGGGCAGCTCTCTTCTAAGTGCTTAAATCCTTCTGACTGCATGACAACTGTTTAACAACAATCAGTATTTTAGCAACTTACTGAAATAATGAAGGAAACACATCTTATACAGGCTACACATACTTTAAGAGCTTGAGGCTGTCAAACGAAATTAAGCAAGAACCTGTATGGCACGGATTATAGTTCCAGTTCTAGCAGAGGAAAACAAAGGGAATTATTGTCACATGTTGAGGCTTCCAGCACTTGTAACACATTGCCCAAACCAGATTATAGGCATAACGTTAGCTAAAAACTAGCAAGCACGAGACAATCAATTAATTCAACTTTATTATTCAAATTTCAACTTGCACTATCAGCATCAAAAGCTATATGATCATAACTATAAGGTTAGCTAAAAACCAACAGCCACGAGACACAATCAAGTAATTCAACTTTATTATACAAAATTTAAAACGGGCAGACGGGAAGAAATCACCAAGGAATTTGTCTCTGTTGGGATTTGTACTCTATCCTCTCATGGTATTCATCCCACTTTAATGAGCGTTAAGCCACACCCTTGGATGTCTTCCCAGTCTTAAATCTCTCATTCCATCATTCAAACTTCAGGTATCCATCCAAACATTCTCTTTTATGGTGTCGATTGGAGAAGTGTAGCAGGAATATTTCTACTCTGCAAGTTTCTGGGAACTTTACCTCAGAAACTTAACTTTTTAATAATACAAAATATTTTCTCTAAAAATAGTACTACACACAATATCAAACTATCATTTTCCATGATTCCTGTGTCACTTGTATCAGGAATCTTCATCTTAAAAAAACATGAAGCCAGACACTCAATATTGTACATGGAAAAAAGTTACATGCATCTACAAGGTCAGACAAAATTTTCGGCCTTTTTCCCTACTAGGAGTTGTTAAAAGAAGAATAAGCATATGTTGGTTGGACAAGGAAAGGAGAAACACTCACGCTTAGTTTTGAAACAAGTGTGCCCCCCTGCTAAAGAAGATTGATGCAAAGGTTAGATCTCATCATCTATCTATCTGCAACTGCCAACTAGTACCATTGGGTCTAGAAAACCCCATCTAGGTTAGATTTAGTAGAGGTGAATTGTGGACGTCCACCCCCTGAAGCACCTGCAAACATGCATCTCTGACGAGCTAGCTTCTTGCACGTACAGGACCCGACCACATTAACTAACGACAAACTTAGAGAACGAGCTAAACAAGGCCAGCAGATTGATAAAATTCAATGTAACTTGTAGTTGTTGGCTATCAGAACTTGGAGGTTCCTTTAGAAAATGCAACTGCAAATCTTACAGATACATCCTTTTCAAAGATACTAACTCCATTAGCCAAAACCACTAACATATTCTTTCAAGAATTTAAGCAATGTGTCCGCCAAAGCCTAGGAGCCTAGCCAACTGGCAGTACTGACATTCAACAATCCTCCACCAAGAGCTCCAAAACATTTTAAAGAAGTTCTAAAGGAGATCTCGTTATTATATTCCCATGGTTACCCATTTTGCTAGATTCCTCACAACCGATTCCCGAACTTAACACCAAAAATAATCTATTGGAAGCCAAAATCACCTTTTTATACAAAAACAAGGTCCATCAGCAAGATTTCAACAGAGATTTTTTCTGAAAATAGTGTTCAGCAGAGAATTTTCAGAACCTAAGCATATCCATAAGTCATTTAGCAAAAGGAGTTCAAGGGACTATTGCTCTGGTCTACGGATACCAACTCTTTACTTGGCTTATCATTTGAACTGGACTACATTGAAGTATGGGACAAATGCACTGGAAATGAATAATCAGAGACAAAAACATGTCTGCAGATAAACAGACATTGAAAAACTAGAAATGACATAACCTGAAACACTGCACTGCTCACATCTACGGACTACACGCACCTCCCAAGTTTGTTGCTGCAAATTTCAAACATATGGCTTTAAGCTGTAGGCATTGATGCTGCTCCGAAAGGGAAAGAGTCGTAGCCACTGTATCCACATTCACTTCTTCACATAATTTAGCCTCGCATAACTGTTTCAACCTATCTAAACCAAAGCGGTCCGCTGCAGCCAATATATGCTGCATCATTATTGTAGATGTTCGTGTTGAAGTAGAGCCAGCAATTTCAAGCAAATCCGGAAGCTCATCAGAGTAAATGAAATGGAGCATAGCCTACAAAACAAACAGATGTACACAATCATCCCAACTATTAGAAAAAGCCCTAAGGTTGGCACAAGATACGCATGTGCATTACAAAATGGTAATGAACAACTTTTATTGAAAGAAACTCGATTTGGGAAAAGTGAGGTGGAAACACCATGACTATAAGGGATGGAATTGCTTAGCTAACTGCTATTTTCTTTCAATATATCCTCTTAGCGATAGAAAGAATAATGGAGGACATCATTCTGTCAGCTTAGGTAGTTCTTAGATATAAATTCCAGAAAACCATCTAAACTTAGTATTATCATGAGGTTCCAATTTATATTGAAAATTGGCTATCTTTCAAAATAATCACATTTTGTAGACTCTCTACTTTTTGGTATAGCTCTTGTATGTAGGATTGTTTTTTCCATCACCAATAAAATTATTCTGCTTATAGAAAAAATTTAGTTAGTTTTACCAAATACTGTAACGTTCAAAGATGTTTAATGCACAGAACATTAGCCATAAGAATCATTTAAGCCTAAGTATAACAATGCTAACTAAGAAAGGAATGTCTAATAAAGAGCAGTGAAATATATTCCATTTACACCTTTAACATACAAAATGAATCTGGAATGTCCATGAGAGTTCTCATATCCCCTCAATTATCTATTTTCACCCTAGCTTTCTTTTTTATTTTCTTTTAATGGCAGAAATCATTATATCAATGCAAGAACCTATTGTGAACAAAAAAAGCAAGAACTTATTACCTTGAAAATTGAGGGCTCAATATCCTCAAGTTCTACTTTGTCTGAATTAGGATTCCCCACAAGCCCAAAGAATTGGGCTCTAAACACAGGAGAACGAGCAGCTAGTATCAACTTATGAGCCTTAAAAGTCTCTTCGCCAACACGGAAATCAATATCACAACCAAGTTCAGCATCCAGCACATATTTGAGACTTTGGCCCATGTCTGATGGAGGAACAGAAACACTATAATCTTTGGGTCCTTCGACACGAGTTCTCACAACTCCAACAGTACAGCGCATAGACAGGCAATCATCCTTCAGGTAGTCAGAGGTTTCCAAAACTGATCTTCTGAAAAATCGTTTGTAACCCCTGTACGTACAGGCAAGAAATTCCATTAATGCGAGTAAGAGAGAAAGTTTTCAATGTGCTTAAATACCATGGAATCAAAAAAGTAGTGTAGTGACCCAACTAAACAATTGGTGAATTATCTTGAGCTTTAACAAAGATACTCTTGTTATGAATGGCAATCATAATATATCAAATCTGTTATCATTTTTCATTACAAAAATTATTTTATTCCATTAATATAAGATTTACAAAATAGTAACAAAATGAACTGTGGTTTCATCAACTGATCATTCATATGGAAACTTCACGAGAGAACTGAAAATGGAACATACAAACACCATTCAAAGTGGTAAAAAGAAAAGGTTGAGTCCTCAAATGGCTGAGCCAGGGGTCAAATCATGAGGCTGACTCAGATTTCAGTAAGTCAATTTTCTAAAAAACTAAAGTTAATGATTGATTTGCAATCATTTAGAGTTTCCCGGAGACAAAGTTAGACGTACCCCCGCAACCAAGGTTTGGTTCTTTTCTACCTTTCTTTTTCTTCAATCTTATAAGTATCAGTGGCGTCAGAATCAACTTGTGGACACCTTGACTATTCCACCATATACTTATTAGTCTATTACCTCCCACTAGTACGGTTACGAAGTAACTCTGCAAATAGGAAGATTTCAGTATTCTGAATTACTCCAACTCTTCAACCACTAGGCCACCTCAACAACCAAGGTCAAAGGCTAGTGCGAGGTCGGGGGAAGGGCCGGAGCAGATTGGGTCTTATATATACAGGCTCAAAGACTGTTTCCGCAGCTTGAACCTGTGACCTCCTAGTCACACATTGAACAATGGGAGGAAATAAGAAAAATGTAACAAGGGTAGGCAAAAGCACTCCTATTTCCAGTATATCGACAAACTTGGAATATGCAAAATCCCAATTACACGCAACATAAACCCTAAGAAAACATAAAAACCTAAACCATTTGGCCACGAATCTTGCTAATTTAATAGTGTCATTACACAAGCTAGCAAATGAATAAATTTGCAGACATACCACATGCTTCCTCTATATTTCAAAGAATATGGGCCGCTCTCGAGCGCCCGATCAAAATGGCTATGAACTTTGTGCTTCCCATTCCCGCTCTGATCCAATAGAGTCAGCTCAAACAGTGCCCTGACATCAGTGCCCTCACTAGCAAGGGCGATGAAAACAGAGACATACGTGGAAGAATCCTCAATATTCTTACCATCAGGGTAGAAATAAACGGCCCAATCATAACCGCCCACTGTAAATGTGTAGCTAGTTATGTACTTCCCGGGACCCATACCTTTAGCGAGGGAGTAACCCCTGATGGTGAAATGGTGGGACCCATTCACCGTCTCGTTTATCGACTTAGAACAGGAATCAGAATCATCCCCCCCACCGCGGTCCTCGTAATCCACGATCATTTCATGGGAATGAATGAAGGTGAAGAAAAAGAATACAAACAGAAACCCTAGAAATGGGGAATTGAATTTCGCAGGGATAAAAGTTGAGGTGCGAAAGGGAATGGGAAATTGATACTTATGAAGCAAAATTGGAAGGAAATTGAGGGAAGGAAATTAAGGTTCGAGCAGGTGTTTGGGTAGCTGCGGAAACTGCAGAAAGCTGAGGAGCGAACGGCAGGAAATTGTAGTGGTTGGGGAGGGGGGGATAGAAAGAGGTGGATTTGATGTAATGGATTTATGGCTTTGGAATTGAGATTTTACGAATGTTAAGAAAACGTCATTTTATTGGCTGCGACTTGTCAAAATCTGGTGGCGCTCTTTTCTTTCTTTTCCTTACTTTTTCTTTTTCTTTTTCTTTTTCTTTTGTTCGGGGCTCTTTTAGTTACTCCCAGGGTGGGAAATGGGCTGTTTGATTGTATTTGTACCGATTAAGATTGAGTGACTCATTAAATGGGTCATTATTCAACCTGCTCAAAGTTTACTTGGGTTAAAATGAGCTGCGTTAAGATGACTAAGCAATGGGCTGTAACTCAATCATCCAAATTGACCCAAATTTTTATAATATTCTCAACTTTTAAACAAACATATATAAAAATTATCTTATATTTTGAAATAAATATCAATTCGTGCCAAATGATTTCTTTCCTCAATTTAGATATATAATTTTATTTAATAGATCTTTATCTTATAATACTAACAAAGATCAGAACCTCCCACCACCCCAACCTCCAATCCCACCATAAATATTAATATTATTTAGAGTACTTTCTTTTAACGTTATAGATAGAGTTTTTTTTTCATTTCAACAAAATGAATATTTTCTTTTTATGATGTAAAAAAAGTATTTTTTTTTTATTTCAATAAAATAAGTACTATCTTTTCATGTTCTAGAAAAAGTATTTTCTTTTGTTTCAACAAAAAAGAGTACTTTTGTTTCATGATATAGAAAAATTATTTTTTTTTTTCACAAAATAAATATTTTCTTTTCCTGTTGTAGAAAAAAATATTTTCTTTTAATGTTGCAGATAAAGTATTTTCTTTTTCATTTCAACAAAAACCAAAAAAATTATTTTGTAATGCAGAAAAAGTATTTTCTTTCATTTCAATAAAATAAGTACTTTCTTTTCATGATGTAGAAAAAAAAATTTCTTTTGTTTTAAAAAAAGATTACTTTCTTTTTTATGATGTAAAAAAAGTATTTTCTTTCATTTCAATAAAATAAGTACTTTCTTTTCATGATGTAGAAAAAAAAATTTCTTTTGTTTTAAAAAAAGATTACTTTCTTTTTTATGATGTAAAAAAATTATTTTCTTTTTTACAAAATGAGTATTTTGTTTTCATATTGTAGAAAAAGTATTTTCTTTTTTACAAAATGAGTATTTTGTTTTCATATTGTAGAAAAAGTATTTTCTTTTGTTTCAACAAAAAGAGTACTTTCTTTTCATGATATAGAAAAAATATTTTCTTTTTCACAAAAATGAGTACTTTCTTTTCATGATGATGTAGAAAAAATATTTTCTTTTAATGCTTTAGGTAGAGCATTTTCTTTTTCATTTTAACAAAATAAAAATTTTCTTTCTATGATGTAGAAAAAGTATTTTCGTTTATTTCAATAAAATAAATACTTTCTTTTTCTAATGTAGAAAAAATATTTTCTTTTTCATAAAATGAGTATTTTTTTTCATGTTGTAGAAAAAATATTTTCTTTTGTTTTAACAAAAAGATACTTTCTTTTCATGAATATATAAAAAGTATTTTCTTTTTCACAAAATGTGTACTTTATTTTCCTGTTATAGAAAAAGTATTTTCTTTTTCACAAAATGTGTACTTTATTTTCCTGTTATAGAAAAAGTATTTTCTTTTATTTCAATAAAAAGAATATTTTCTTTTCATGTTGTAAAAAAAAGTATTTTCTTTCATTTTAATAAAACGAGTACTTTCTTTTATTTTATTGTGATACCTAAAAGAATAGCTCAATAACGTCCTTTATTTTATTGATATAGATTTTATTTGTTATTTTTTTGTTGTGATAATGTGTTTCACTTTACTTTAGATTTTTTTCATGTTTGATGATTATTTTTGCCAACAACAGTTAATTAAATAAATCATTCGATATCATGAAAATAAAGTACTTATTTTGTTGAAATGAAAGAAAATACTTTTTCTACGTCATGAAAGGAAAATATTTTTTTTACNGGCAGGGGTTGGTGGAGATGGGAAATGTTGAAAAAGAGTTTTGAAAAATATTTTCCTTCAATTGGAGAAAAACGAATTTATAAAGAAATTATTTTTCAAACTTTTAAACCAACCAAATATGAAAATATTAGAAAATATTTTTCAAAATATGGGTCAAGGTAGAACTCTAAGATTGAGCATTTCTAGGGCCAAGGTGGGCATCATCACGGGTCCAGTTGGGCTGATGATTTTTGATAGGCTAACTTGGGCTAGCCCAAAATAACCCATTTTTAAAATTTATCTAGCCCAAACCCATCAAAGCTTGGGTGGGTCAAATGGGTTTGGGTTAGTTTTGCCACCCCTAGTTACTCACTCCCTCCCTACGTGGAGTTCGGGGCTCTTGATTTTTTTGTCTATTTTTTATATACACTTTGAATTATTAACTAATACGACTTATAATATTTTTCATGTAGTTTTTAAATATATAAATTTTATTTTAAAAAACTTAAAAAATTTATATCCTAATTCAGATTAAAATTAAGAAGTTTGACCCTCAAAATGCGACTTTTCTCACATAAATTGTCGCGACCCAAAATTCATTAAAGGTCGTGATGACGCCTAACACCGTTGTCATGCAAGCCAGTCATAATTAGTTAATTTAATTACTCATTTTAGTATTTTTGAATCGAGATTTTCTTCAATTAAATAGTAAAGATAGAACTCATAGAATAAGTGATAAATATTTTAGCAACAAAATTACTAAACAAGCCATAACCACTCCCAAAATCCGGTGTCACAAGTGCATGAGTATTCACTAGGGAGTAAAATAAAATACAGCATCTGTCCGGAATACAATTTAAACAGGAAAGATATAAATAACTCTGAAGGAGACTCTGCTGGTTGCGGATCGTAATATAGAATGCAGCTCACCTAAATCCCCGCATTAACCACGCCTCTGCGCCCACAATGCCGCTAGACATATATGTACCTGCACACAAACAAATATGCAGTAAGTGTAGTATGAGTACGTAAACAACGTGTACCTAGTAAGTATCATGCCTAATCTCGAAGAAGTAATAACGAGAGGTCGACTTTGATACTCACAAAGGGTCAATAATATTAAAATAGAAATATTTAAATCGGCATGATATATAGGAATAACAATAATTTTCTTTAACCATCAGAAATAATTAATTCTTTCAATTTTAATTTATCAATTAGCTTCACAAGCTGCAATAGAATATCAAGGTATCGTGTAATTATTATTATTAGGCACGATGCCTGCCGAGGTCGTTCGGCCCGATCCAGAGTATCGTGTACACTGTTGAGGGACGTGCGACACGATCTATAGATACATCTATCCTATCGAGGCGTTCGGCCCGCTCCACAAGAAAGGAGGACATTTTCTTATGAACCTCCGGAAAGAGAAGTCATTATTATAGGGCTAACACATAAGGATTTACAATTTCTATTAACATTTGAATAATTTTGTACAAAAATTCAAGTATATAAAATTTAGCCTTTTACTATCTTTTCTAACAATTCACAATATAATTCCAGTACTTTAATTAAATAAAAGATGCAATTATCACAAGAAATTCATGATTTGAGTCCTAAGCTACCCAGACATAGCATAATTAGTAGCTACGCACGGACTCTCGTCACCTCGTGCGTACGTAGCCCCCACAATTAGCAATAATTATTATTTTAAATCACCTATGGGGTAAATTCCCTCTTACAAGGTTAAACAAGAGACTTACCTTGTCTGAAAGCCCACTTTTCGATCACAATGTCGTGTAAAAATTCTCAATTCGGTGCCGAAAAATCCGAAACTATCAAAAGGTTATATAAAATAATTAATACATGTTCAATAATTCGAAATTAGACTATTAAATAGATTACCCTATCCAAAATGGTAAAATTTATAAAATTCACTCCGGGCCCACGTTCCCAGATTTCGAAAATCTTCGGAGGAAAACATTACCCATAATCTCAAGAACTCAAATATACAATTTCCATCCAATTCCATAACCATTTTCGTGGTTAAAATCTCATTTTTATAAAAATCTAGGTTTTTCATCTATACCCTTGATTTCCAAAATTTACAGGTTATAATCTATCCATAATCTATGTATTTAACTCAAAGTGTGTATGATTAACTTACCTTCAAGTTGCTAGTTGAAATCCCCTCTCAAAAAGCTCCAAAATCGCCCAAGAATGGAGAAAATGAGCTCAAAATACGCAACTTGGAGGTTCTGCCTTTTGTGATTTTTGCGCACGTGCAGAAAAACCCTCGCACGTGCGAGATTTTCCTCTTGGCCTGGCTCCGCACCTGCGGACAAATGGACCGCTTCTGTGCAACCGCATCTGCGCCCCACGCCTTCGCACATGCGCATTTCTCGCTTCTGTGCGCCTTGCCTCGCTCCTGCTCGCCTGCAGGTGCGCCCAAAATTCCGCATCTGCGGTTGATGGCCTGCCCTCCTCTTTCTGCTTCTGCGAGCAAAATGTCGCATCTGCGATGGTCGCACCTGCGACTGCCCAAGCGCAGGTGCGATTGAAGCAGAAGCTGAAAACTTCAGTTGTTGCTCCAAATTCCAAAATTGGTCTTAGCCTCGTCCGGTTGACACCTGAGGCCCTCGGGGCCCCGCCCGAACATACCAACAAGTTTCAAATCATAAAACTGACTCGCTCGAACCCTCGGAATGTGTAAAACAACATCGAAACTAAGAATCATACCTCAAACCAAATTGATTCAACTTAGAATTTTCAAAATTTTCAAACTTACTCCAAACGCGCCGAAACATACTTAAACTACTCGGAATGACACCAAATTTTGCGTACAAGTCTTAAACCACCATACGGAGCTATTCCCAAGCTCGAAATTCCAAACGAGCCTCAATTACTCCAAAACCTACTCCAAACCAAGTTTAAAGAACCTTAAACCTTTAAATAGTTGATTTTCACTATTAAGCGTTGAAACGCTCCCAGATTGTCCAAAACCCGATTCGAACATACGCCCAAGTCCAAAATCATCATACGAACCTACTAGAACCGTCAAATCTCGATTCTGGGGTCGT